AAATATGCCCAACTCTTGAAGAATTTCAAGCACTAATGAAATCCTGGCACGATGGGGAAATCATACTTCAGCCTTGTTTTGGCCATGTCTTAGCCTTGGGACGAATGTGTGGGCTTATTTTGCATGAAGCTCGATCCTTGGCCCACGACGGAGAGCTAGATATACCCAGCTTAATTCATCAATTTTCTGACGTTGGTGACTGAGTCAGCCTCCTCCAGTGAGGCTTTCAGCAATATGCCCTCTGCTTGTGTATTTGCACACTATCTTCTTGTCCCTAGTTTCGGCGGAGCCAATATCAAGTTGATTGAGGTAGTCTAACGCCTAAAAGAAGGTAAGAGTTGCATCAGTTTGGCCTTGGCTAAGACCTTGATGGGTTTGGACGCTTTTCACCGGCAAGAGACCACTAGGTTTGCGAGGAGTCCACTACTGCTCCAGGTATTGTTTCCCACCCTATCTTATATATATTTCTTACATCACTCGACATTCACACTCTATTTTCTCTCAAAGCCCTTTCCTTACTTTTCTTTCAACATACATCTTTTTATTCTTTAATCTCTCTTATTTTTCATCCCTTTCCAGGTTTGGCTGATGGACAAGCTAAAGGTGGTGAACCCTTGCCCAGTTTACTCAGTTCAAGTGTATTTTTTTCACCAATGCCTAGTGGACTTCCCCATTGAGGGGTGGTGGTGCAACTGGATGTGCCACAGGTTTGCAGTTGACGTAGCTTGGCATTGCCCCTCTCTTTACTTAGCCGAGATAAGCTACAACATGACCCGACAGCTGGGTGCTCAGTTGATTGGCCTCACACACTGTGTGTTCTATTTCCCCTTCCAGTTAGAAGCCAAAGAAACTTTATGCTAAACTGTCTAAATGAGGGGGTGGATTACTCACTAACCCACACAGGAGTCAAATGAGGCTTGATAAACCCTCCATTCCAAGTTTTTGTTGATAGGCTATTCAATTATTTCCAATGTAATCATATTTTTCATTATAAGAATCATATTATGGTAAAATTTCACATAAAAAAAAATAATTTCATAATCTTTATTTGACGAATTGAATCTGCTTAAATAATTTCCCATTAGAATTTTGGGATTTACAAACACAATTATTCCTAACTACATCTTCTTAAATTTGTAATTATTGATCTCACTTATCACTAAATTTTAATTTTCTCAAAATTATAATATGGCTTTTACGAGCTTGTCTTCAATGACATTTTAGTTGACTTTAGAAAAAAGCTTAGTGGCTTAAGAACGTACTTCACGTCTTTTGAAAAAATGAAAATTGACAATAGAAAATAAAAATACAACTAAATAAACAAATCTTTTAATGGAAAATCTTAACAGCAACTCTTCTCTACAATTTTTGTAGGTTATCGTCAATAGAGTAAACAACTCTTTGATTCACGTTTATATTTAAAATTTTAATTAAATATAGTTAAGACCAGAGAACGACTGGACTTAGATAAATAAATGAATCCAAACAACTTGAAAACAAGTCATACTCTTCCATATCACATTTTCACATAGGAAAACAAAACGCACTAACATGGACAATGACTAGGAATGGCAACGGGGCGGGGCGGGGCGAAGCCAGGGATCACCCTCCCCGTCCCCGATCCCCGATGGCAGAACTTCCTCTCGTCCCCGTCCCCGTCCCCGTCCCCGTCCCCATCCTCGACGGGGAGCCCACTACCGCCCCCACCCCTGCCCCTTAACAGGGATCGGGTTTCCCCGACCTCGAAAATCCCCGGCCAAAAAAACAACATCAACATCTCAACAACATCAAGAACATCAAAAAAACAAAAAAAAAATCTGTCTAATGGATGACAGAACAATCTGTTCAACACACCCACACAACAACAATCATCAACAACAACATATATATATATATAACAATCATCAAAAAAAAAAATTAATCATAGATATATATATACACAACAATCATCAAAAAAAAATTTCAAATCTGAGGGAGGGCTCACGGACGGAGGGAGGGCTTCACGAATCACAATCTGACAAAGGGCTTCTTGGACGGAGGGCTTCTTCTTCTTCAGACGGAGGGTTCGCGATCTGACGGAGGGCTTCATGATCTAACGACGACGGACGGAGGGCTTCACGAACAGAGGGATCTAACGGACGGAATGCTTCATGGACGGAGGGAGAGTGGGAGAGGGAGATGAAGAGGAGAGGAAGGAAGAGAGATGAGACTGAGATTTGAGTCAGTGAGTAAGGGAGAGAGAGATGAGGGCCACGGTGAGAGAGAGACACACACAGAGGAAGTGAAATGGGAAAATAGGTGTGGTTTATATATATATATGAGGGGTAAAAGAGTATTTTCACTTCGGGGATAATTCGGGGACGGGGCCGTGGCCGGGGACAGGGACGGGCCGGGGCTTGAATATTGATCACCGTCCCCGGCCCAAAACTAGTCAGGGATTTAATTTCGAATACCATCCTCGTCCCCACGGGGATATTTTTCGGGAAAAAACCATCTTAATCGGGGTCGGGGGATCGGGTCTCCGTCGGGCCGGGTTCAAATTGTCATCCCTAACAATGACACAAGTAGTGCATTTATGAACCACATATTTTAATGTGCAAATTACAAACACTCCCCTCGAGGTTTGGTGAAAATACAGATTCTCCCTGAGTTTTGAGAAATTACATCTCACCCCCTGAGGTTTATATTTCCATAACAAATTGCCCCCTGAGGTTTTTATTTTCATACAGATTCTCCTCTAATTTGTTATGCAAATTTGACCTTCAGGGGACAATTTGTAATTTTTCAAACCTCAGGAGAGAATCTGTATTTTCACCAAATCTCGAGAGGGTGTTTGTAATTTGTCCTATTTAATTAGAATGGAATTGAGGTACGATAGGAGAGGACAGATGTCTAAGTAAATAAGAATCATTTAATCCAATAATTAAGAAATCCAAACAAATTAAAAACATGCCCCATACTTTCTATTCCATGTTTGCATAGACACAAACTTGATTGATGACGAACTTGATATGGGCTAAAATATACAATCAAAATGACAGCTTTTAATATAGGCAACCGGAAAAATTATTTGAAAACAAAATTAGGTGCGTCAACTGTTGCAACTTCCAAAAATCCATTGGTATTGACCCTGTCAAATTGTTCACTGACAAGTCCAATTCAGTCAATTTCAGTGACTCAATTGGAATTGAAATTTCACCTGACAATTGATTTTTGTTCAAGTACACAAAACTCAAGTTCTCCAATTGAAAAAGTTCTCGAGGAATTGAACCTGTGAAATTGTTCTCTGACAAGTCCAATCTAAACAAGTTCGATGATTTAATTGGAGTTGGAATTTCACCCAACAAATGATTTTTGGTTAAACTCACAAAAGTCAAATTCTTCAATTGAAACAGCTCCAGAGGAATTGAACCTGTCAAATTGTTGATTGCAAGATCCAAGATTTGAAGATTGTATAGACTCGCAAAACTTTCCGGTATTTTGCCAATCAAGTTAGTCGTACGCATCGACAAGAATACCAAATTGTTCAACTTGCCGAACTCCGGCGGTATTCTCGCCGGCAAAAACAGAGAGTTTTCAGCCATATCTAGTTCCACCAGGTTCGACAGGTTTCCGATTTCTGCTGGAAACGTGCCGTTGAACTGGTTTCGGTAGAGGTAGAAAATCTGTAGCTCCGGCAACCGGCATATGGCCGGCGGAATGTCGCCGGAGAAATTGCTGTAGGCGATGTGGATGACTTGGAGAGACGACATCCGGTCGATGTCGGAGGGGATTGGGCCGATGAAGTAGTTACCGGAGAGGTCTAGGGATTGGAGACCGGAGCAATTGTAGAGAACAGTAGGAAAGTTGCCGGTGATGTAATTGTAGGAAAGGTCAAGGACGGTGAGGTTCTTGAGGTCACAGATCGACAGCGGGATTGAATTCGTGATGTTTTTGTTATGGAGATGCAATCCGGTGACAGAGCCGCCGGTGCACTGAATCTCCGGCCAGCCACACGGCGAGGACGTAGAGTTCCAGGACTGTGTCCATGGAGGATTCCCCCAATGCTGTTTAAGGTTGAGTAGGATAGTTCGGTCGTCGGAAATTACCAGAAAGGGCATTAGAGTGAGGAATAAGTAAAAGAAAAATAGAAAAACTTTTGAGAATGGTGAGGGCATTTTGGTAAACCAGCTCCAATTATAAGACAGATGCTCTAACCTGTCCTCTTCTTTGTTATTGCTTGGTTTATAGCATGATTAGTTTATAGTCATGGATCATCTCTCTTTTAAAAGTTTTTCATCCTATTATTTGTTTCTATACATTCCACTACAATTATTACTACGCGCGATTTACGGATCGAATTTGACATGAAACTCAAGATTGAACTCTTCAAAGGGTAGCTAGAACCCCTGTTAACTTTTAATAATGCTAAATAAATATTATATCAAATTTTTGAGAAAAAAAGAAAGGTAAAGTTTCTTGTTTGGAAGGGGTGGATTACCCACTAATCCATATAGAATTCAAATAAGGCTTGGTGAGTGTAATTTGTATAGGTAAATTGGACTGAGCTAAGTAAAATTGTCTTCAGAGTTTGGGTTGCACATTAGACGGAGATAAGAGCTCGAATAGCTCGGCTCTAGTTGAATGGATGCTAGGCCGGATAATGGAATTGGGCCTAGCTACCAATGTTCAGGCCATAAACAAACTGAGATGGCTTCGGTGAAGAAGGCCGAGCTAAATTTAGCTTGGCAGATCATCATTTGGTTGTTTGCACGGTTCGGCTAGATAAAGAGCAAAACAAAGTAGCTCGGTTGAGTATCAATAGTCAAACAGGGGGTTGCCATCTCACTTGGCTTGCAGTGAGGAGGGTATTCCAAGGATAAGCATTATCTTTTAGGAACGTGATTCCTAGAAGGACTCTGCTGAGAGAGGTAGAGTCCTACTAAGATCGTGTCACACGAAATCTATAAAAACTTATGGCATAACCTATTCCCAGATATGGCAATTTTTACTCTTGAATACACAAAGTTTTTTTTGTTTATTGTCTAATTACTAGCTTAGGCATCGGATGGGTTTCCGGCACACACCCGCCGGCAACCTTACGTTTGTGTTTTTAGATGATTGGATGATGATATTTAAATGAGTGCAAACTTGATCAATAGAATTATATGAGAAGAATTATTGTGTGCTTGTATACATGGTATACCCTTCATTCCATATTTTTATTGGTAGGGTATTCAGTTATTTCTATTGTAATCATATTTCCCATTAAAGAATTGCATTATAGTAAAATTACATATAGAAAAAATAATTTCATATAACTTATTTGACCAATTGAAAAGTGAAATAAATCAAGAGCTCCATTTCCTTGTTGGGAAAGGCAAAAATAAATTAGAAGAGAGATGGGAATTATTGATATAAAATGTGGGGTTAAATGTATATTGGTAATATACTTGATAGTGTCCAAAATTTGGTAGTCAATTTTGATGACCATAGCACTATTATTTAACAAAATAAGAAATAGGAAAAAAGGAAGAAGAAAGAAGAAAGATGTGGTGGCTTGTGAGGAGAAAAAATATGTGCATTAGTGTAAAATATGAAAAAGATCATAATAGAAATTAGGTGTGATCAAGAATTGGGTTGGGTTGGGTGTCATCCAATCTCCTATCTGTTCAAAATTAAGTGGATTCAAAAAAATCAATTCGTTTCCATCCACCGGTTTGGCGGATGCCAATTGAGCGAGCTGAGTGGGTTGGCAGATGGATGCGATCGATTTGATTGTTTGAACTTTACAAATTTGAGCATTTTTTTTTGAATTGTTATAATTCATAACTTTTACAATCTCAATAATAATCTGAAAAAATATATATTATTTATCTATAATAGGCTATGACACCACACATGCATATTTTTTAAGTATTGTTTTCTATTTTCACAAAAATATATATTTTGTTATTTATACTCTATGTTGTTACTTGTTAGCAATTTCCTTTTCTCTTTTTTTTTTTTTTTTTTTTGAACTTCATCTACAGGCGGATTGGGTTCATGCGAGTGCAGGATAGTTGATCCACTGTCCAAACTGTATTCACAGATTTTAATATTTCATTTGCATCCATCCGGCAAAAGGCATCCATCCGCCCAAAATCAATCGATTTGGGTAGGTTCAGTCGAGTTGGCCGGATCCATGATCACCCTTAATAGAAACTAGTGATATCTTCGTTTCAGCACTTGTAATGTATTTAAACACAAATGTTAGAGATTTACAAATACTATAAACTTTTTTACACAATTGTAGAATTTTTTAAAAAAATTATAATATTTTTAGTATTCCTTACATTAGCCAATAGATTAGCAGATGGACAATCTTTTGGGTTGCATTTGGAATCATTGATTTAGAATGATGAGAACACTCCTTCATGGAGTGCAACCTTAATTCAATATAGGCCTCGTTTGGGAAGTGGCTATTTTAGTAGACTTTTTGATTTTTTGACTATTTTAGTAGGCTATTTTAGTTTGTGTGTTTAGAAAATTGGATTAAATTTTTGGGTTGATTGTTGTATTGAAAAATGTGTTTGAAATGATGTTTAAATTGAAATGACAAATTTACCCTTGACTTTATTTTTTCCAAAATTGATATCTAGGGGTAATATTGTAATTTAACAAACCTGCAGCATTTGAGATATTTGAATTGATAAATTTGAAATAAAATGATGAATTTAATTATTTGACATATTTCCATGAATGATTTTATTTGTAGGACGAATTTGAAAAAAAAAAAAAGAGTAAATATCATTTCTCCCAAACTATCATGAGTTTTTCACGTTGACCCCCATATTTTGATTTATTTCAATTTAGTACCTAAACTTTTCACAAATTGGTCAATTAGACCCCTACTATCACCTTCCGTCCACAATTGGATGGAATGTGTTGATGTGGGGGGCAAATTTATTTTTAAAGTATAGTTTGGGGGGCAAATTTATTTTTAATTTGGGGGTAAATTGATTTTTAAGGTATAGTTTGGGGGGTAAAATGAAATTTTAAATGCCACGTCAGTGCATTCTATCCAATTGTAGACGGAAGGTAACGGTAGGGGTCTAATTGATCAATTTGTGGAAAGTTCAGGTACTAAATTAAAATAAATCGAAGTATGGGGGTTAACGTGAAAAACGTGTGATAGTTTAGGAGGCAAAATAATATTTCCTCAACAAAAAAAAAAAACACATTTCTTTTCTCTATTCAACCCTGTACTTTAAAATTTTTAATCTACCACCCATAAATTTTGCAAAGTAGATCATTTAAATTTTAGAAGGCCAAAGTAAAACTAAATGGATTTTTTGTGCCCATATAGCTATTTACACAATATTATATGGGAGGTAATGAGATTTTTTATAAGTTTGTAAAATGGCTCCATTGAGTCATGTATCGGTCATAAAACCAATTCTTATACTTATGAAACCCATATTTATCAGAGGAATATGTATTCTTTTTTTTTTTTTTAAATTACATTGATCAGGAGACGTTGAAACTGCATAGATTATTTACATTGTGCCTTAAAAATATTGAGATTTAAATTTTGGAAGTACCAAATAAGATTATGCAGATTTATAAGAAAGAGGTCTTCCTCTTCCATATCACATTTCCACATAAGAAAAAACACACACGAACATGGAGATTGACACAAGTTCATTTATGAATCACACTTTAATCAGGTACACAAGACTTTATAGATGACGAACTTGATATAGGCTCATACATATCCATCTATCCGAAGAACTTTTGACATTAAACTATAAAACATACAATCAAAATGACAACGTAATCAGATTAAATTCCTACAATAAGCAACCGGAAAAGTTATTTCAAAACAAAAGAAGGTGTGTCAATTGTTTCAGTTTCTAAAAATCCATTGGTATCGAACCTGTCAAATTGTTCTCTGACAAGTCCAATTCGTTCAAATTCAGTGACTCAATTGAAGTTAGAATTTCACCTGACAATTGATTTTTGTTTAGAAACACAAAAAATCAAGTTCTTCAATTGAAAGAGTCATTGAGGAATTGAACCTGTTAAATTGTTCTCCGACAAGTCCAATCCAATTAAGTTCGGTGACTCAATTGCAATTGGAATTTCACCCGACAATTGATTTCTAAATAACCACACAACACTCAAGTTCTTCAATTGAAACAGTCTTTGAGGAATTGAACCCGTCAATTTGTTCTGTAACAAGTTCAATTTGATCAAGTTCAATGACTCAATTGGAGTTGGAATTTCACCTGACAATTGATTTGTGAATACTTCACAATAGTCAAGTTCTTCAATTGAAACAGTCCTTGAGGAATTGAAGCTGTCAAATTATTCTCTGACAAATCCAATTCAATCAATTTCAATGACTCAATGGAAGTTGGAATTTCACCGGACAATTGATTTTTGTATATTAGTATAAAAAAATCAAGTTCTTCAATTGAAACAGTCCTTGAGGAATTGAACCTGTCAAATTGTTCTCTTCCAAATACAATTCGATCAAGTTTGGTGACTCAATTAGAATTGGAATTTCACCCTATAATTGATTTTTGTCTATGTACACAATAGTTAAGTTCTTCAATTGAAAGAGTTACTACTAGAAAAAGTACTTTTTGCGATCTTTATAAGCCGTCGCAAATAATAAAAATACAATTGCAAAAGACTTTTTGCGACGGCTTATGCGACCGCAAATGTGGAGATGGCAAAGACTTTTTGCGACAGCTTAAACTACTTATGACGGTTGCTATTTTTCCGTCACAAAAAACAAAGAAAAATACCAACATGTTTTTTGGCGGCCATTTTGTCATCGTCGCAGATAGTTTTCAATGGCATTTTATAAATAGTACAATAATAGCTTTTTAGCAACGAATTTTTTGTTGTAGCTAATAATTTTTTTATTATAAACATCATACATCATTTCTTACAAGTACAAGCACCTAACAAAATTCTTTAAAAATCTAGATAATGTAACCAGATTTACATAATATGCCTTTCATAAGCTATGATAATTGAGGAATTAGACCTGACGAATTGTTCTCTGCCAAGTGCAATTCGTTCAAGTTCAGTGACTGAATTAAAATTAGAATTTTTCATGACAATTGATTTTCGTATAAATATAAACAACTCAAATTCTTCAATTGAAACAGCCCACGAGGAATCAAATTGTTGAGACTTACATCCACTAATTGAAGATTCAATAGATTGGCAAAACTTTCCGGTATTTTGCCAATCAAGTTACTCGTACTCATCCACAAAAATTCTAACTTGTTCAACTTGCCCAACTCCGGCAGTATTCTCGCCAGCGTAAACAAAGAGTTAGCCGTACCTAGATTCACCAGATTAGATAGGTTTCCGATTTGGGGTGGAAACGTACCGTTCCAGGCCCCTGTCCATGAAAGATTCACCCAATGCTGTTTAAGGTTGAGTAGGATAGTCCCGTCGGTGGCTGAAATTACCAGAAAGGGCATTGTTAGAGTGAGGAACAAGTAAAAGAAAGATGCTATAACCCGTCCTCTTCTTTGTTATTGCTAGGTTTATAGTATGATTAGTTTAATGTTTCGATCATCTCTCTTTCTAAAGTTTTTCATCCTATTTTGTGTTTCTTCTATACATTGTCAACTACAATTATTACTACGTGCGATTTACGGATTGAATTTGACATGAAACTCAAGATTGAGCTCTTCAAACGATAGCTAGAAGCTCTGTTAACTTTTAATATTGCTAAATATTATATCAAATTTGTGGGAAAAAAATTAAGGCAAAGTTTGTTGTTTGGAAGGGGTGGACAGGACTACCCACTAACCTATAGGATTCAAATGAGGCTTGGTATACTCTTCATTCCACGTTTTTATTGGTAAGGTATTCAGTTATCTCTATTGTAATCATATTTCTCATTAAAGCATCGCATTATGATAAAATTACTCATAGAAAAAATAATTTCTCATTGTTTATTTGACCAATTGGAAGGGTTGGATTACCCACTAAGCCATGTAAAATTCAAATGTTATCTCTAATGTAATCATATTTTGGTAAAATTGCACATAGTCAGAATAATTACAGTAGTTTATTTGAGCAATTGGAATGAAAGAATACCGAGAAATCATAAAGAGTCACCCAATTCATTGTTTTTCTTTTTCATAATCAATGAATGGGGCACTGGTCCAAGGCATGTCAACGTTGGAGACATATTTTCTGCCTATTGGAATTTTGATAGGGAGCAACTTTCCTCTATATTTTATTTTTTCATAAATTTTTGGATTTTATTTTTTAGATTTTATGAAGTTTATAATGATGATCTGAATTGTTTTTCTCCTAAATCTCGAAAAGAATTATATATATATATGTGTGTGTAAAAAATTAATTTAATTAGATATCAATGACTATATTATCTAATTTTATAAATATTTTTTCCTTTGATACCTATTCGGATCACCATTATGAGGCCACACGAGACCTACAAACAGTAATAATTCAGACTCCTACAAAACATCACACCCACAACCTCCACTCACTTGTGATTGTGATTGGTCCAAGTAAGAAAAAGAAAGAAAAAAAAAAACAATACTAACATATTATTGGTCCACATCACTGTAGAGGTCTCCCCAAAAATGGGTCCCAAGCATTTTCCAACCTACAAAATAGAGTCTTGAGGGATATGTAAACAGAATCATACAAGTTACGAAAAAAATAAAATCTTGAGGGAACTACTCCCGTATCACCCAAAAGTTTGGTGGGGAAAGGCCAAAAAAAATTAGAAGAGAGGTGTGATTGATATAAAATGTGGGGTTCACTAAATGAATGTATATTGGTAATATATTTGATAGTGTCCAAAACTTGGTAGTTAATTTTGATGACCACAGCATTATTATTTAAAAATAAGAAAATGAGAAGAAAAAAAAAAGTAAGAAGAAAGATGTGGTAGATTGTTAGGAGAAGAATATGTCCATTAGTGTAAAACATGGAAACGATCATAATACAAACCAGTGATGTCTCTATTGCAGCATTGGTAATGTATTTAAATAAAAATGTCGACCTTAAAAAATATAATTTTTTTTACACAATTGTGTTATGAATATTCCTGTCATGTTCATTAAAATAAATATTATTTTTCATTTATATTTTTATCGTTGGCATCATTTTCATATTATAAATTATTTTCTTATTGGTCTTTTTAATTTATCCTTACAGTTGTATTAGTCGTAAGTATCAAATAATATAAAAATTCCACTAAATGAAAAAAAACAAAAACAAAAACTTGATATGAAAGGTGGAGGCATGAATTTATTGGAAATGGTTTAATTGATTAAAAAAATTATAAATTACCAATTGGGTTTCCAAGCTATACAAATAATAGTTTATAATTATTATTTTTTTAATAAAAAATATTTATTAAAATATTTTAAAATTTGTGTTAGACCATAACAAAATATTTTTCATTTATAAGTACTTAAAATTATTTAGGGCAAAAAATTGGGGCTCATGTAGTAGTAGTAGTAGTGAGTTGCTTAGAATTGCATAGTAGATTCATAATTGTTTAGTACAAAACCAAGTCTCAGACCTTTTGACTCAACTAATAAAAAAAACTTTTACACACATTTCTCAAACACTTACAAAATATAATCTTAACTAATTCACATAATGCTTGCACAGACACAAACACAAACACAATGAGACATAATACTAGTTTATCAGATTGTATTATTTGAAGTGCTTGTTATTTTAGTCTTTGACCTGGAAGGGCTTGTAGGCACTGAGAGCCTTACTCAGACTGGATTGACCCACAGGCTGCAGCCAATGCAAGAAGAAATCACACCACATCTATGAGTTAAAGTCCGAGCCACCAGCTAGTCCACTGCCCAATTATCCTCTTCTTGAGGTACACCTCCACAAGGGGAAAAAACTGTCAGAGGATAGTACCCGATGGTGCCCAGAAGGGAAACCACGTCGTTGAAAAAGGGCAATCAATGCCATTGCCAGAGTGGTCACTAGTATGACAAATACGGTTCTCTAGATAGTCTAACGCTACGTTTGGTTGGGAAATTTGAAAAGAAAAAAGGAAAAAATAAGTGAAATATGAATAAAATATACTTGCATTTCACATTTTTCGTTTCTCTTTTCAAATTCATTCTCAAATCCCCAACCAAACACAAGAGAAAAAAATTTGACATTGGACTTGTACTTGTACTTGTTGCCAATGGCTATCGCGTACTCCCCCGTTAAACGTAGAGTTGGACAACCACTTGCTAGCCCACAACTCAAGTGCGTTAAATAGGGGTTGTGAAAATACCTATCCAAAGGCCTTGGTCCAAAAAGCAAGGGAAAGTCTATAGTACATTTTATTCAAAAAATGTACAGTACATAAAAAATCAATGGCTAGGATTGAGCCACATCATTAAAAGTCAAGAGTGGAATTTGGATGAAGTTAACCTAAGTCTAACTAGAAATTTTTTTAGGACTTGAATAACAAATTTTTAGAATTAAATTATTATAATTCAGTTATTATATTATAGTAATTTGAATCCAACATAAAAGTGAAATTACGCTTGAATCAGTGCTCCCTCTTTTGAGATTGAAAGCTCACCTGCACTGTATCGGTTTGTTTATTTAAGCATAAAGGAGAACTTCATTTAATGTAGAAATATATTACATGAATCAACTGAAGGTTTTGCCCAAACCAATAGTTAATTAAAGTTGGAAAAAGATAAAAGAGCTAAAAGGCAAAAGAACAACCATTTGATTTTAGTATATTCTCTTGCCATATTTCCAATCATTTGATTTGTTTAACCAGCCTTTGCTAATACAATTATCACTTCTAATTACACCTTAAATTTGTTATTACTATCCCACATATTACTGATTTGTAATTCCCTCAAAATTCTAATATGATTTTTGACATTTCAAGAGGTCCAAACGCATTATTATTAGTTTAAAAAAAAAAAAAGGTAGTTATTCGTAAATCTCTCTTCACCTACTTATATGTTTCACTTAATCCAAATTATTTTCTTATGTTTCAAAAATTCTTATAAGTAACATAGTTACCAAAATACCCCTAATAATAATATTCACATTAACATTGTGACACTACAACATATAAAAGTTTTAGAAATCAAATTTATTGGTCTCTAATAGTGAAAATTTTGTTGCAAAAGACATTTACGGACTAATTTATATTGTCGTGAGGATAGTCGTTAAAAGATCATCTCGAAAAGTAAAAAACAAGGCTTTTAGTGACAAAATTTTAAAAATGTCACTAATAAATACACTTTTAGAGACAAAATAAATTGGTCTCAAAATGATTTATTTTTTTAGACAAAAAATTTGGTCTCAAAAAGATAATAATTCATCATTAATGTCCAATTTTTGTTGCTAAAAATATAATAACGACACTTTTTGCAACAAAAATATTTAGTCCCTACAAAATAATTTTGTCTCTAAATTTGGGTCTCTAAAACCTTAATTCTTTGTAGTGTGAATGTTCCGTGATGTAAACATTCATACTGTAAAATATGAATATTCATATTACTAAATTGCTGAGCGTTCAAAAAATATTTGTAAGGATAAAATTATCTATAAAATACTTTAAATATGATAGATACGGTGGATCAAATGTTTAAATTATAAGACTTATTGAAATATACGTTATAAAATAATTGAGATAGAGTAGTTAAAAGAGAATTTTTTAATAAATCTCCCTTAAAAAAAATTTAAAAAAAAAAAGTTTTTAGACATATAGGCGCTATTTGGGAAGTGCCTAAAGAAACTATTATAGCCTAAAAAAAATTTTTAGCCAAAAAGCCACTTTTGCAAGCTTTTTCAAAAAATATATATATATATATAGGACTGCACAGCCGGCAGTGTAGGCACAGCCTACACTGTCAGCTAGAGAAATTGTTCCATTTTACCCCTTGATAGCAATTTAAAAAAATATTTTTTTAGGGACAAATTTGTTATTTTAATTTCAAACATCATTTCAACATATTTTTTAATACAACAACTCAAATAAAATCCATCTCATCTTCCCAAACACAAAAACTAAAATAGCCTACTAAAATAATCAAAAAATCAAATAACCTACTAAAATAGCCACTTCCCAAACGAGGCCATAATCTTTGAAAACTTGGAAGTCGTAAAGAGTCACCGAATTAATTTTTTTATTTTTATCTTTTATAAAGTTGTAAATTTCTATGCTTTCAAGTTTCATGTTCTACTAATGTTTTCTGTCTTGTGGAATTTTGAACACCCAAATTTTGGGGTCAACAAAGCAAAAAGTTCTATCTTCTCAGATATAAAATGTTGGGAAAGGCAAAACCAATTAGAAAAATATGAGATTTACTGGTATAAGATATAAAATGTGGAGTCCATTAAACGAATACATTGTAAAATGTCAGATATTATCAAAATTTGATAGTCAATTTTATAAGACCAAAAAAAAATGTGGCTGGATGTTAGGGGAAATATGTGCATTAATGTAAAACATGGAAAAAATCATGGGTGTTTGGAGTTTGTTTTTTTGATAAAAATTTTAAAAAATTATTAAATTTCTAAATTCTACTCAATATGACAAATTGAAAATTTTTAACTTTTGATAAAAAAAAAAAAAATCCCGAAAAGACAAAAAAAAGTTGAAAATAGTGGACTTTTGGCATTTTTTTTTTTTTTCGAAATTTTTCAAAAATAAATACACTCATTAGATTCATCAACATAAAACTGACCGGAAAATTTTTTTAAAAAAATTGTACACAATTTTGAAACAATGTCACAAAAGACAAATAAATAAATAAATAAAATGTGACTTATTTGAAAGTTTCCAAACATGTAAAAAGCCAATAGATTAGCAGATAAAATTTTCTAGGTTGCATTTCGGTTTATGGTTTTAAAATGAAAAAATCACTTGCTTATGGAGTAAAACTTTAATTCAATGTAGTATTTTACGTTCAGATTTTAAGAATGACTTTTTTTTCTTTTTTTTTTTTGGTTAGGATTTTGAAGAATGAGTTTGAGAGATTTGAATTGATAAATTTGAAATAAGTTGGTGAATTTAATTATTTAAAATCCTTACATGAATGATTCAACTTGTAAAAAGATTTAAACAAAACGTATTTTTCCCATCTCTATTCAATTATCTACTTTAGAATTATCAATCTACTTCCCATGCAAAACTCATAAATTTTGCAAAGGAGTCCAGGAAAATTTATTTAGATTTTGGAGGGCTAAAATAAAACTAAATAAATTTTAGCTAGATTTTTTTGTATATATAAATACTCAAAATTGTATGGAGGAGCTAATGAGATTTTTATAAGTTTGGGGGGCTAATATAAAAATGTTTAAATTTTAGAAGGCTAATATAAATATTTAAATATTTAGATTTTACTTGGTTGTCTTAGTAAACAATTGTCACATAAGATTTTACTTGGTCTCTCCTTCGTACAAGTTTTGTTCAAGTCTTTTTTGGAGTTTACATTCCGTTTGTTTGAATGAATTTTCTTGTAACTTTCAGAGAGAGGGACATTTGTATTTTCTAGCATTTGATATAACAAAAAAGCGAAAGTTAACATATTTTGAAAAATAGTTTCGGGACTAAAGTTTTATCAATAGCACTCTATTACCGCACTGCCACCACCATCACATCCACCATTACCTTACCGCTGCCACCACACCACCACTGCAAAAACTAAAATATTTAGCGATGGCAAGTATGCCCTGATAAATTGGGCTTCATGTAGTTGTATTAGTGAGTTGCTTAGAAATTAGAGTTGCATAGTAGATTTATAATTGCTTAATACAAAGCCAAGTCACGGATTCAACTAATAAAACAACTTTCACAGACATTTCTCAAACACTTGCAAAATAGATTCTAATTAATTAGCAGAGCATCACATAATGCTTGCATGGACACAAACTCAATGACCGATAATACTAGCTCATATGATTATATATTTTATTTGAAGAGCTTGTTATTTTACTCTTTGGCCTGAAAGGGCTTGTAGGCATTGAAAGCCTTACTCAGACCTTGGATTGAGCCACAGGTTGCAGCCAATGCAACAAGGAAGCACACCACATTTATGAGCTGGAGCCCGAGCCACCGGTTAGTCCACCTCCTGATTCTCCTCTTCGCGATGTACATCTCCACCGGGAAAAAAACTGTGAGCGGCCAGTACCCGATGGCGCCCAGAAGGGCAAGTATGTCATTGAAGAAGGGTAACGCCATTGCCAGAGTGGTTGCCAGTATGACAAATATGGTTCTCCAGGTTAGCCTGAAGAAATTGGCATTGAACTTGAACTTGTTGCCAATGGCCATCGGGTACTCCCCCATTACGAATGTGGACTTGGACCACCTCATGTTAGCCCACGACTCGACCGCGCTAAACACGGGTTGTGAAAATACCTGCCCAAAACCATTTCAGAATTGTAATCATCTTAAATATTGTGGAGCTAGGAAAGGACTAAGCTTGTGTTCGGTCCAAAAATTGGATTAGAAGGTTTTTAGTTTGGATTGTTGTGAGCCTATCCTGAACTTAATTCGGTGATCCACACCATTCAAACTGTAAATCTCGCCAAACAGATTATTTATGTAAAAACTAGATAGGCCTAATTGTGAATCCAAACCATACAAGTTAAACGGTTTAAATCACTGAGATAGGCCTGTGGTAGCCCACAACCACACAAACAAGACCCTCCAGGAAAAAAATAATGGACTGGAGATAAGCTTCCTCTTTCTGGAAAATGTCGTGTCCCCTCATCTCATGCCTCTCTTAGCGTCACATTGTAGCGGGTTGAGAGAAGTTGGGATAAGAGGATACAAGATTTCCAAACAGAATCATGTGACTTATCAATTTAGATAAGTTTTTGGTAATATTTTGAACCTGATATGCTCCCACGAGGTGCACCACAATGAAAATGTTGGCCATGTCGACTAACCAAAATGGCTCGTAAAATCCAAAGCCGGTTAGCAAATTGCCTGGTGCACGATCCCCAAATGCTGCGTAGCCAAAACAACCGCACATCATATAGAATGTTGTAGTCGTCAACAACGCCATCACGTTAGCCTTTTTCATCACTTTGTTTTCAGGTTTTGATGATTTCAATGTGTCCTAAAACATCACAGCAAATACATTATGACACTTTTTCTTTTTCTTTTTTTATATCCTTGACCTGATTTTCTGTTGATAAAATGACACAATTTGAATTTGATTAATAACCCAATATTTAAAGTTCTTGATCATTGATTTTTTCTCACTTGGATTTCAATAAGAAGTTGAGAATATGAGAAAGCGAATGCGATGTCGCCAAATGCTTGAAACATTCTCCAGGTTTTCTCAGCCGCAGATATGTCTATCCCAACTTCGACTCCTGTCATGGTAGTCCTCTGTCCTCCCCCTGTTTCAAAATCCCATTATTTGTTAATAATTCTCAGCCATTCTTGCCCAATTGCTAGGCCTAGAATAAAATATGTTTTCTATGTTTTGATTTTAGATTTGTCGAGAGAAAGAAAATGGAAGGAAAATTAAATTACTTATATGCTATTGGTGACCAAAAGAAATGTGTCAACTTGATATGAGAAACATCAATGTTACATACATAGCTTAGAATTTGAATAATGCGACTAGATTTATTTTGGGTGTAACCAACATCATATGGTTCTTTTAGCATCAATCAACTTATAAATTGGGATGCAATGTTTTGAAAACCGAATCAGTGAGCAAACCGAAAAAGGGATTGGGTGGACGGGTCACCGGTTCAACCGTCGGGTCAAAATGGTTGAACCGTGACGTCATAATTAATATTATATAATTATAAATTATAAATAAATAAATATATAAATAAATAAAAAAATAAAAAAATATATAAATAATCAAATAAAAATAAAAATAAAAATTGTTGCATAGTATTTATTAATAATATTTAATAAAGTCATAATTGATAAAAAAAAAAAGTCACTTGTTTTAAGGAAATTAAATTTTTTTAACATTTCTTCCAAACAAATTGATTGAATGCTAGCTTTAATTTTGGAGGGAAATGAAATTTTCAACTCTTCCTCCAATTAATATGATTCAAATAATTTGATTGAACCTCACATAGAATTTTGTAGGTTCTCTTTAAAAAATCTTTTTTTATAAATAGCAATAGACTTTCATAATCTCTTCAAACTTCAATGAGACTCCTCCTCATGAGAGGAGACTCTTGAAGTAAGATTTTTTAGTTAAAATTTTGAAATATATTTATAATATAAATATATATATATATATATAAGAAAGAAAGAAAAGAAAAATAAAAATAAAAAATAAAAAGATTTTTTTCGATACATGGGATTTTAGTACGAGAAACATTATAACAATATGCTTGTTCTTTATATTTTTTGTTGCATTCAAAATGATGAGAGAGGTGAAAGAGATTTACCTGAGACAACCTTTGCGAAGGCAAGTCCCATTCCAATGAAGGAATAACCAAAGGACATGAATGCTGCAACAATGGAGAGCATTGAAAGCTTGTGGAAGTCTGGGATTTGAGAAAGAAAAATCTCAAGAATTCCCAACCCAATCATGTATGGGTTATTGGAAAAACTGCATTGAGCTTCACGACCTCTATTGTGATAGCAATTTGACTTTTTTATGGCCCTGAAAAACCATCACATTTCATAGTTATATATTATGTGGACATTTCATTTCTTTTTTTTTATATATATAGATAAATTACACTGTTGGCCTAAACTATGCTTACTTGTTTCGTTTCATCCCTCGGGTACTTACATTTTGTCTCAATATACCCTTCAATTATAGAAGTGCTTCAATGTCAACTTTCTGTCCATTTTTGTTAGGGCATTTAAAAAAAAACATAATTTCTCAACTGCCCATTTTTTTTTATCGTGGATCAAGCTTTTAATCGGACTGGAGGGTTCATTTGAGAGTCCTTGGGTATTCAATTTGGTGATCCAAATCATTCATCTTATATAACCCACCGAACAGATCTTCTATACAAAAATTAGATTGATCAAACATTTATAGTGACATGATCAGAACTTATTTGTCTTGAAATAATTAACAACAAATATGATTTCAAAAATAAACCATCTATTTTTTTTAAGATAAATGTGACTCAATCATGTGGCTACCATAATCCGATATCAACTTCATTTTTTGAATGAACAGTCTACTTGGTAAACCCTACAAAATGAACTGTTCAAATTATCAAAATAAGACCAAGGTAGGCTCACAACCCCCTCAACTGGCTCTTTTTATCCTTTCAGCCATTTGTCTCCAGAAAAATATGTCAACAGGTAGTGCCAAAAAAGCCAAAATATATAAGAAAATAATTTAGTTCAAGGGACAACAGTGTCATTTACTCTTTTTTTTAAAATTAATTTAAATCTTTTGAAGTAGCTTACACCATGCTTATTGAGGCAGTGATTGTATAGCCAATAACCATCCCACAGAGGTTGGCATATTGAACAATTCCACATGCCACATACATTGCTCCCCCTGATACATTCAAATTTCAAAGAAATTAAAACTTAGGCGTAGTAGTGAACATTCATTCATGAAATGTGTTGTGTGCAATGAAATATATATATATAGGGTAATTCCATTGGAAAATTTCCAAGTGCACATATACGAAATTTACAAAATGGGACACAGATATGAGAAACAAAGGGTGCTCATGCATGTGTCCCATTTTGTCAATTTTATCTATGTTTCTAGCACTGCTGTTTATATTACCTAAGTTTGTTTTGACAGCATCGGTGTAGGTGTAGTTTCTTTTGCCGGTGGCTGGATCGGGAGATCGGTAACAATCTGCTAGGAGATTGGAAGTATAGAGTGTGATGAGGGAGAAGATGAGCAGTGTGGCGACTCCAACGACCCATCCGAGTTGAGCCACACACCAGGCCAGGGACAGAACTCCTGAACCTATTATGGCTGTTATTATGTGTGCGCTTGTAGTCCACAAATTCCCTTTAATGCAACACAACAACACACATTTAGGACTCTTGGATTGAATTTGATTGGACGAATTATAGTATTGGATTGGTATTATTAACTCATAGGACTCATATTTCAATGTTTGGTTATAATTTTTGTTATTTGGATGAGATTGCAATGGACATTCTATTCAACAAAATGAGCGATTTTTTTAATCTGACAGTTAATAGTGTAAAATAAACATACATTTGAGATTATATATTTTTATATTTATTGCAAAACAAATATGAACAAGAGTGAATTATTTATTCTACTAATCCAGCTAGATAACTAATCTTACTCTAATTCTATAAGGGGTAATATTAGGGATACTAATTTTTTTACCAAATGAATAACCAAATATCTCACATCCCCACACCCATATCAGACTTTTGGTCACTCATTTAGTAAAAATTCGGAACGTATATCATTTTTCATTCTATAAATTAATAACAGCCTCATTATTAGTCAAACAGGGCCTTTGTGTGGTAAAGTGATAAGCTCATTAATTGAAGTCTAAATAATGCATTTTGCATACTAACATAGCAATATTAGGAAATACATAAAATTATTTTGCACTTTGGGTTTCCCAATGATTTTGTAATCACCCTAAGTGGTGAGAGAAAAGTGAAGAGTTTGAGTTACTAAAAATTAATATCCTACCGCCCCCCCCCCCAAAAAAAAATAAATAAAAAAATAAAAATAACTATACTTATTTTAAGAAAAATATTATACCAAATGTCTCACATGTGTAGAATAATATGAGACATTTGGTCAAACTTTTGAGATATCTGCATTGCTCTTTTTAAGTGTGACTAAATTAAGAAAAAAAACTTGAGACACCTAATTTATTATCTCTAAAAGTCACTCCTAATGATATGTCTGACAAGTGTCAAATTTTGATTTGTCAAACATTTAATCATGTTGGGTCTAACCTCAATGTCACATCATGAAGGGTGATTTAGGGATCCTAAATGAGAAATTTAGTTAAAACCCTCTCATAATAAAATTTTAATGCATTAAGGACAATACAAAAAAAAATTCTTAAAAAGTCCACAACATACTACTATTATCAAAATATCTTTAATGAGTAATTTAATATTTTAAACTTTAAAATAATATAACTTTTGATCTAGTTACTAATTTTTAATAAAATTATTATTTTTATAATACTCTCTTCAAAATCTATCAAATAAAATCCATGTTAACTATAAAAATAAATTTTAAAAAAATTATTACTCTGTAAATAGTGACATGTTACTCTATCTCACAGTAACATGTTACTCTGCCAATATTATTAAAAAAAAAAGATATTTTATTTTGTCCTTATTCAATTATGTGCATTTGCCATAAGGGATTTCTGAAGTAAAATAAATTGGATTATCATTTACACCAAATAAGGGTCCAACGAAAGAGTTTTAACTAAATTTTCCTATTTATTAATTCTTTGTCTAACAGTGAGAAAATATGGTAAAAACATAAGTTTACCTATATCGTTGTTTTATTTAGGGTAATACTAAAATGACCCAATTGTTATACAATATTTGCTTTATCAAGCGATTTGTTATCACTATAATAGTTTAATGTGTCTCACCATTATATGTGTTTTCAATACAGTGTATACTCATATGATAAATCAAACCTGTTAGGAGAAAAATTATTTAGTGGTCTTGAGACACTACGTGTCAATACTTTCACAAATTTTCAAATGTCATGCTTCTTGTTGTTCCTCATCATCTAATACCAAATCATGTACCCCACTTCCTTATGACTCAAAATCAAACAAGTTTTGTCTTATAATATTCTTGAAGTATCAACTGGCCATGTCCTAGGACCACCAAATACCTTCTCCTAGGGCGAAAATTTGAATTCTTGGTTTGTTTGCAGGATTTAAGTATTGGGTTACCTAGCTTTGTACATCTTGAATCTTGATCCTCCAATATGGGTACTAGTTTTGATCTAATGAAGATAATAAATGGCTGTGATGCAAAGCATGGATTCACTAGATACAGCCACAAGACAAAGTTCAACTTCATTATTATAGTTACCTATAAACCAATAAAGAAATGATATTAGAACCAATCCCCCATGAAGAGTATTTCAATGGATCTCAAACTTGGGATCTTAGGGAACACAAAAAACCTCCAAAAAAATATTCATATCTTTCTGTATTCACTCCGATGCTCCCAAGAAACCAGCTCAACAACAAAAAGAGACCCCCCAAACAAACCACCCTCTTCACAGAACAAACTAACTCAAACCCAAAAAAGCCTAAAAAAACATGTTGACAAGAGCCTTCACAAAGCCAAGAAACAGCCCATCATCAAAAAGAGATGATGAAAACAGCTGCAGATCAGTGTCGATCTATGAGTACGAAGACTGTATCTTCGGATTCATGGAGCTTGATGTGCCATTGATCTTCTGCGATGAGGACGATGACAATGATGGCGGCGGTGGTGGGGGGTTGAGTTTGAGGGAGTTGTTGAGGGGTTCAGTGGGGGTGATAGGAGAGGGAAGTTTGGGGATCACAGAGAAAGTGGTGCTTTTGGAGAGGAGAGTGTGGGCAGTGAAGAGGTTTGGGAAGGTGATTGTGAGGAGAGGGGAGTTTGGGAGGAGAATTGAGAGGCTGGCGCAGGTTAGCAGAAAGTGTCAGTATTTAGTTCCAATCACTGCTTATTTGTATACAAAAAGGATCAAATTTGTGGTTTGTGATTATTATCCCATGGGAAGCCTTGCTGACTTGCTTGCTGGTATGTTATTAGCAGCCCATGAAATTATACACTATATATCACACCATCATGCATTTGTGTGCATGTATATGTATATATTATTTTCTCTATTCAGTGATTAATGATTATTATTAACTTTCATTAGATTGTAATTTGTGATTATTATTCACTTTTGTAACCATTACAATTCCATTATAATTTAGTGAAATTGAATTAAAAATCAATTGACATAAAAAAATAAACTTGTCCAAGAGACCACTCAAAACTCAATTATGATATTATATTACAATTTGTAAAATATCTAATTCAAAATTAAGTCTTTAGATTATATGTCTAACAAAAACTTTAATAGTGAATTAAAGTAGCACATTAAGGGATTATTACTGTAAAAACCACGTTCAATTTTCCAGTGAGATGTGTTGTTGTGCCACATGACTTGCAGATTGCGTATGGTATTGCTTTTTATTTTTTTAGGTTACTCAGCCTCAAGGTCAATTTCTGAAATTCTTGAAAGTTTGAATATTTTTAAGTCAAAATGATATGATTTGTTTGAAAGGACGCCTATCTGTTTATTTATTCAAATATCATTTATCTGTTTAAAGATCACTTATTTGTACACATGTCATCTATCTGTATAACTATCTGTTTAAATATCCCACATATGTACATTTGTTGTCTATTTGTGCAACTATTTGTTCAAATCTCCAACTATTTGTACTTGTGTTATATATCTATTCATCTATCTACTCAATATTACTTATTTGTCCGCCTCACTACCCCTAGCTGACACCGCCGGCCACTATCGTTTGCCACCGACTTTTCTGGTGACTTTTCAACGCTTGTTTTTATCACAAGAAAAGATTAAATGTTGGACTAAATAACATATGACCTCATAAGAATGGACTTTTCATCAATTAACCTATTTTATGTGTTTTTATTAATTTCTTAATAATTACCTTCAAATAAAAAATCAATCATGAATATTCATGTAGATGGTAATACAAAATAGTGATATATAGTATTTTTCTTCAATTAAAATTTCATTTTGTAGTTAATAAAATTTTATTTTTTTAAGGTTTTGAATTGGTCATTTTTGGGTTTGGATTTAGCTTGAGAGAAATTGTTTACAGTGAATACAACTGTTCGCTTTCTAAATTTGTTGAATATTATTCATGTAAAAAATTAAGATAATTGAATATCATTAATCACATGATTAAATTACATTTATATTACAAATATTGATGATCAATTCTTGAAATTATATTATTCTATTTAAAAAAAAAAACAAATTTTGATCCAAATGCGTGTATAAATATTATATTTAACTTATTCTAAAACATGAACAATTCTGATTATTGAGATTTCCCGAAATAAACCACCAAGGCCTGTTGTTTCTCCAACTGGAGAAAAGCCATGTATCCTCGTTGAAGACGGACTATTCGGTCTGGCATTGCTATGGGATTACTAAATAGAAACTTATCATTTTTCACAATCGGAATCTTAATTATGTAATGTTCTTCTTTTTCATTTAGGTGCTAGAGAGCTTGGTCATACAACTTTAGATTGGAAACAAAGACTCATTATAATCCTCAACATTGCTCGAGCCATTGCATTCATCCATTCCCAATCACCTCCACAAGACAAACGCCTCCAATTGAACGTCCACGGTGACATCAAAGCCTCCAACATCATGATCAACGTCGACTTCACTGCCTGCCTTTCGGACTACGGCTTCACTCAGTTGGCAAAGCGTGTCGAAGTTTCTGACACATGGCACCGGAAGCCACCTCCGCCATCACCGGAACATATCTACTCCGCTACGCTCTCCCAGACGAGTGACATCTGCAATTTTGGGATCATAATGTTGGATATGCTTGGAGGCCCCAAAGCTCCAAGTCTTAGGAACTGCATAGTGGAGAAAATAGAAGATATAAAAAATGGGGTTTGCGAATTCTTCGAATTTTCAGTAGAAGGGAAAGAAAAAAATCAAGCTTCACAGGTTTTGGACATAGCTTTGGCATGCACTGATTCATCGTCTGATGCCAGACCTTCAATGGAAAAGATACTGTCTAACTTGGGGAACATTATTAGCCGTAGATGAGAGCGTGAAAGTGATCAATCGATTACATATGAACTTGTTTGGTTCTTGTTCTTCTTCTTTTTCATGTACACATAGTAGTACTATTGTGTATGTATAGAAATGGGGTGAAGTTACAATAGGTGTTGTTGACCTCTCCAACCAATGGGTATTACTTGGTGTGTGTGTGGGTATATATAGATTTTGTTTCAAATTCAGATTTGATGAGTGATTGTTGCTGGAATTTGGAAAGTGTTTTTGTTCTGGAAATTATTTCAAAATTTGAAAATTTTGAAGTGTTGTTGGTATCTGTGATGAATTTGTCTAATTATATAGCTATCTTCTCTGCATGACTGATGAGTAGATAGCTGTGTTTTTGCTTTCCTTCATTTCTTTGTTGATGTTGTTTTTCTGCTTTTGTTTGTTGGTATCTTGCCAACTAACTGTTCTTTTGTTTGGTTGCTTGGATATGACATGTTTTGTCTCAAGGTGCCAACTTGATTCAAATGGGGAAGTTGAGCTATGATGGTTGATGCATGCACCTCACCTTTTGTTTTGTTTGCTGTTGTAAGTTTTACGGGAATTACTCAATAGTGAGACAGGGAAAAAAGAATTACACAATCATGATAAATACAAATCATCCGGGTGTAACTCCAACTCTATCCCCTTCATATTTGTATATATATATATATATATATTTTTTGTTGTTGTTCCACTATTGAGTGATTGTCCCTAAGTTTAATTACACTAATATATTTTCTTTTTGCTGATAAAAATAATATAAAAAAAAGTTGAAAAAAAAGAAAACCAAAAACAAAACAGGAGAAAGAAAGGATAATTTATTATTCATAGAGTATATTTTCATGGGAAATTTATCAGAAAGTCCCATATGACGAAATTGTATTCCATTTGGTCCCATGAATAATTTGTTTGATTGAGCAGTCCATGATAGTAGAGATATCTTACTGATAACTCCTTTTTTAAATTATATTGTTATGTGGGGGACAAATATGCCCTCACATCAATTATGGGACGCCAACAGTGCTCAAAAAGAAAAACAGAGGGACCATTTGATGATGTGAATAATGATCGAGAAACCCTCAGATCGACATGAACAATGGGCACAAGATGATCGTCAATCCGGCAGGTCGATGTACCACGTCGGCCCTGCGGATCTTCTTCTTGGTATCGGAAACATCGTTTTCGTTGTTGTTCTTGACGTCAGTTGAAGCTTCAGTGACAGGGGAGTCTTCGATGGTCTTAGATTCGTCGATCGAAGCGTCGTTGCAAGGAGGATCTGAGGGTGGCTGGTCCTGTAGTTGTTCTGGGTCAGGGGTTTTACTATGATTTTCCTCTTTCTGCGTGGTTGGGATCGGGATCGGGGTCGCGGTCGCCATTGATGTAGCTGATAAATGACGTGATGTGAGAGAGGGGGAGAGAGAGAGAGAGAGAGAGAGAGGGAGAGAGACGAAGGAGTTGGGTAGCTAATCTGGGACGGGAATCGGTGGGATTGGCTGAAGAACGATGGAATCGCTGGGACGAGAATCGGTGAGATTGAGAACCAGATCTGTGAACCTTAGGATTCCACACACCAACCAGATCATTCACAGCACTCCACCAGATCTGTGAACGTTAGGGTTCCACATACTAACCTTAACCCACACAAATTGTTCCTACAAAATCTCTCCAAAAAATCCTCTGAATATGTTTAGGAAAAGAGACAGCCAGATTAGGGTTTTGGGGGAAAAAGAAACCAAAAGTGATCTAAAATGTCGCTGCTGCAAACTGATATACGCAGTCCTCGCTCGATCGACCAAACACAACAGTGAGACCTCGCTTGAGCGCAAGAAGTGTTGCTCGAGCGTAGAATGTAAAGCTTCAGGTCTGCCACCAACGCAGACACACGCTCGAGCACAAGAAGTCTCGCTCGAGCGAAGAAACAATTTCACAAGGCTCGCTCGAGTGCATGAAGCCTCACTCAAGTGAAGCACTCCACCTTCCCAGAAAAGCTGCGTCTGAGAAAAGACTCGAGGACTCTTAATCCTCGCTCAAGCTTAAGAACCCTTGCTCGAGCGACGAAACAGTTTACACAAGTCTCGCTCGAGCGAAAAAGTCAAAATCTGGACAACAACATTCTGGACAACAACATTCTAGACCAACTAACAACCAACCTGTTCCAAACATGCCCAACATAATCCAAAACTCAAATACAAAGAGTCAAAAGAGAATAACAAGACAAGGATACGATATTCAACCACGGGACCCAAGTCCGGGACACAAAGAAGGTCGGGGCAAAACTGGGATCGCTATAGGCATTCCATGGATGGGGGAGGTCTCTACTTTCCATATCTTGGAGACGGTAAGTTCCCAGGCGAGGTCTGCCCTTGACAATATAAGGTCCTTTCCATTTGGCTACTAGCTTGCCCTCAATCGGATACTAGGTCCCCCACTGCGAACTCTCGAGATCGAACTTTGCGGTTATAATGTGTTCTCATTTTCTGCTGATATGATGCCTGCCTGACAGTGGTTGCCTCTCGAAGCTCTTTAATTAGGTCTAAGTCAGCCCAACGCAACTCTTTGTTTAGTTCTGCATTCGAGTGCAAAACCCGAGGGGTCAGCAGGTCAATTTTCACTGGGATGACTGCCTTGGCCTCGTATGTTAGGCGAAAGTGGGTCTCCCCAATAGGGGTTTGAGCGGTCGCCCAATAAGCCCAGAGTATGGCCCGGGGAAGAGAAGCATGGTCTAATGTTGAGCTCTTCACAGAATTTTCTAAATTTGGCATTGTTGAATTGTTTGCCATTGTCTGAAACGATGGCCTGGGGGATTCTGAATCAGCATATGATCGATTGCTAGATGAACTTGGTGGTGTTTTGTTCAGTGATTGTAGCAATGGGTTTTGCTTCCATCAATTTGGTGAAGTAGTCAATGGCAACCACAATGAACTTGGTTTGGCCCCTACCAGTGGGCAAAGGACCAACTAAGTCAATGCCTCACTTAGGGAAGGGGTAGGGACTGCTAAGTGTAATTAGTTCTGTTGGTGGAGCATGGGAGATGTTGGTAAAGTGCTGGCATTTATCACACTTAAGTACAAATTCGCTGGCATCTTAATTGAGAGTAGGCCAAAAGTAGCCGGTGCAGAGGATTTTATGGGCCAGAGATCTTCCACCTAGATGATTATCGCAAATGCCCTCGTGGAGTTCTCTTATCACATAGGTCGCTTGATCAGGACTAAGACACCTGAGGTATAGGCTCGAGAATCCTCGTTTATACAGTTAGCAGTTGATGAGGATGTAATTAGACGACCGGGCTTTGACTTTGGTGACCTGCTGTTTATCATCTAGCAATTCTCTTTATGTCAAGAATGGAAGGATGTCAATAGCCCATTGGATAGGTTCATTTTGGAGGAAGTGAACCTCCTGTGGGTTTGGCGAAGTAGCCGGATGGGTCAGGTATTCAATGCGGATGCCATGGCTAAGGTCTGACTGGTCGGCCGAGGCTAATTGGGCCATTTTGTCCGCCTTGGAGTTTTCTGACCTAGGGATGTGTCTAATCTGGAAAGTATTGAAAAGGCGAACAAAAAGAAAGGCAATGTCCTTGTATGCCCGCATCATGTCTTCATTTGCGTCGAATTCCCCAGTAATCTGCCCGACAATCAATTGGGAATCATTGAATACTTGGATATGGCTTACACCAATGTCTCTGGCCAGTCGAAGACCTGCTATTAAGGCCTCATATTCGGCCTCATTATTGCTCAGGTCGAATAAGAAACATAGGGCACACTTGAAATACTCACCCTCTGGGGTGGTGAGGATTAGACCGGCCCCACTGCCTTCTTTGCGGAATGAACCATTAACACTAAAGGTCCAGGAATGGGGGTCTTCTGCATCAGTGTTAAAGTGCGCCGCAGAGGGGGACGTTCAGAGTGAGATTGGTGAATTCCAAGATAAAATCAGTGACGGCCTGTTCTTTGATCGCTGTTTGAGGTCGGTAAGAGATTTCAAATTGACTTAGCTCGACGGACTATTGCATAAGTCTGCCTGACAATTCTAGTTGTTGCATGGCCTTTTTCAGAGGTTGGTCAATGAGAACCACTATGGAGTGAGCTTGGAAATAAGGTCGGAGGCACCTAGAGGCTATGACCAAGGCGAGGGCCATTTTTTCCAGCAGAGGATAGTTCCGTTCTGCCCCCTTGAGAGTGCAGCTAATGTAGTAGACTGGACGTTGTAATGAGTTGTCTTCCTTGATGAAAGCAGCACTGACCGCAGTGTTTGATATAGCTAAGTAAAGGAAGAGGGTTTTGCCTGGGTGCGCTTGAGAGAGGAGGAGGGGTTAGCCATGCACTGCTTCAGTTGTTGAAAAGCCTCCTCAGATTCGGTGCTCCACTCAAACGCTTGTCGGAGGACTTTAAAAAATAGAAGACACTTGTCTGTTGCCCGGGAAATAAAATGGTTGAGGGCGGCAACTCTGCCCGTGAGTCGTTGAACCTCCTTGACCATTCTGGGAAACCGTATTTCTATTAGGGCCTTGATCTTTTCGGGGTTAGCCTCGATGCCCTGTTGGCTGACCATGAAGCCCAAGAACTTCCCAGATCCTATGTCGAAGGCGCACTTCTCCGGATTCAACTTCATCTAATATTTGCGTAAGGTTTCGAATGTCTCTCGCAGGTCTACCAAATGATTGGAAGAGAGTTTACTCTTGACTAGCATGTTATCAACGTAGACTTCCATGTTCTGACCTATCTGGTATTGAAAGACAGCATTGACCAGGTATTGGTAAGTTGCTCCAGCATTTTTCAAGCCGAACGGCATAACACGATAGTGATAAGTTCCTCTGTTTGTGATGAAGGATGTGTGTTCCTGATCGGCCGGGTGCATCAGGATTTGATTGTAGCCAGAGAAGGCATCCATGAAACTAAGCATCTGATGTCCGGCAGTTGCATGGACTAGCAGATCTGTCAGGGGAATGGATAACTATCTTTGGGACAAGCCTGATTAAGGTCAGAATAGTCGACGTAGAGTTGCCATTTACTATTGTTTTTGTGAACCGAGACTACATTAGACAGCCACCTAGGGTAGTCCATGCTTTTTATAAACAGCGCCTTTAGTAGATTGTCTACCTCAGAGGCAATAAGGGTATTGCGTTCTGGGTGAAAGATACGTTGCCTCTGGCGGAAAGGTCGGAAGTGGGGCTTAATACTGAGACGATGAGTGATGAAAAAGGGATCGATGCCCAGCATATCTGAATGGGTCCAGGCAAAAACATCGTTGTGCTCGGCTAAGAGAGCTGTGAGATCGACCTTAGCCTGAGAGGATAGTTGGCTGCCAATCTTGGTTGTTTTGGCTGAGTTGGTAGGATTGATAGGCACTTCATCAAGTTCCTCCGCTGGTTCCCTTCTGACTAACTCTTCATCGTCTCTGGCGTCGATACCTTCGATGATCATGGCCTCCTTTAGCTTGACCTCTTTTAGTGAGGCAACGTAGCATTCTCTGGCCATCGTCTGCTCGCCCCTCACGGTGCTGACCCTGAGGTCGGTCGGGAATTTCATGGTTAGATGGTATCTGGAGGTGACAGCTTGGAAAGCGTTAAGAGCTGTGCGCCTGAGGATTATGTTATAAGCACAAGGACAGTCGACGACAAGAAAAATGAGTAGCTTGGTGGTCTACCGTGGATACTCTCCGATGGTGATGACAAGATTGATAGAGCCTATGGAGGTCACTCGATCGCCAGTGAAGCTGACTAGCGGGGTTTGGAGAGGGGACAATTTTCTTCCCCGACCTTAAATTGGCGATAAGCGTTCAGGAAGATGATGTCTAAAGAGCTACCGTTGTCGACTAGCACCCGTCTGACTTTGTAATTTGATAGGAGAGCGGAGATGATGAGGGGATCGTCGTGGGGGTATCGAATGCCTGTGCAGTCAGCCTCCGTAAAGGTGATAGGTTCAAACCACTACTTGGGATGTTTGAAGGGGCGATCTAATGTCGTGACTTCTTTGTCGAAGCCTTGTCTGATTTTTCTGAGTTCGACATGCTAGACCGAATGAGATGGACCTCCACACAGGAGCCCACCAGCGATGACTCTGATCTCTCCGACTAGGGGGGCAGGATTGTCTTGTGCTCGAGGTTGTGGTGGGGGCCGATCATTGTCTTGCTTAGGTTGTGCGGGTTATCGGGGGGATATGTCAGCGGTGGCCCCCCGGCAAGTCGGTCCTTGGTCGCTGCTAGGGACGGGCTGCCGTGAACTGACTAAGGCGCCCCTGGCGTACCAGATCCTCTACCTGGTCCTTAAGGTTAACACATTCTTCTGTGTTGTGGCCGTGGTCCTAATGGAAACGACAATACTTGGATTGATCTTGTACATTGGAGGGAGACCGTGATGGCTGAGGCCATTTCAGGTTGTAGTCTCATTGGATCTGGTTCAAGACTTGTTCCATGGAGGAATTGAGGGGGTTTAGCGCTCGAACAGATCGGGCAGTCGGAGAGGGGCCGGTCGGTCGGCTCGAGCGAGTTGGTCGGTATATTGAAAGGATCTGGTTTCGAATTCATTTCTTTTGTCCTTAGGGGTTGGATTTTTTGGGGTAGTATCTTGCCGGGCTGCCAAAGAGTCTTCGACATTCATATATTTTTGGGCTTTGGAAATAAGGGTGGCCATGGGGGTCGGGGGGGTTTTGGAAAGGGAGAAGAGGAAATCGGATGGTCGTAAGCCGGCCATGAAGGCTGTGAGGATGATATTGCCGTCGTTTTCCGCCACTTGTAGGGCCTCGATGTTGAAACGGGTGACAAAACTACGTAATGACTCCCCTTCCGTCTGTCGGATGTTAAGCAATTGAGTTGCCGGGTGCCCCTGGCGCTGAGCACCAATGAAATGGCTCAGGAAGGAGTCACTTAGGTGTTGGAAAGTGGAGACAAAATCTGGAGATAGCTGACCAAACCATAGTCGAGCCGACCCCTTAAGCGTCACAGGGAAAGCCCAATACATGATCTCGCCAGGAAAGGCATGGAGGATCATGAGTGTCCTGTAAGTCTCCAAGTGGTCAACTAGATCCATTGTGCTGTCAAAGGAGTCGACTGAGGGCATTTTGAACTTGAGGGGTAAGGGTTTATCCCTGATGGAGGCAGCAAACGGGGAGTTAGCTGTTGTGGAGGGTTTATTCTGTATGTTCTGCATGACTCCTTGAAGCTGGAGTTTCATGGCTCGGAGTTCCACATCCCAAATAGGAACATTGTCTCCTCCGGAGTGCAGTAGGGGCTGAACACTACTAGTCTCCCCTTCAGGGGCAGGTAAATTGGTGGATGTAAACCCCGAGGTGGCGGGTTCATGTCTTGAGGTGGGGCTTGCAGACCCTCTAAGTTGGAGATGTGGGCTTGTTGGAAAGGATGGCTCGGGGTTCGTTCTCAATTGGGAGGGATATCTTGTGGTAGTAGAGGAGGTATAGGGAGGTTTCGCTGGAGTAAAGCGTTGATCAAGGCCTGGTTTTGCTCGGCCAAGCGGTTGATGCTGTTGGTGAGCTCTATGAAGTACTAAGGTGGGTTGTTTGGGTTGGGAGGGTCGGCTTGGGGGTCGACGACGTTGTGTTGGGAAGCCATGGATCTCGTTGTAACCATGCACTTCGATGGCAGGTGAAGAGAAAATATCGGAGACAGATCTCCGGCAACAATGAACACAACTATTACCCAGAGTGGCGTTCCCACAGACGGCGCAACTAATGATGCAGCTAATCCAAAAGAGGGCGAGTCGGGTAGACCCACGCTTCCTACACCATTCAACAGTCGCTGAGCTCACTGGTGTGCTTGCAAAAATATCCAACGGGGAACGAGAGTCCCCCAGCCGACCCTCCGACGATCAAGTTAGAAGAGAGGAGATTGATATTGTGTAGAGAGAGAATAAGAATAGAGAACTTAACCTTTTATCTGTCTTGGAAGCCTTCTTATATCCTTTATCCATCATTTCCTTGTCCACTCCGTCCTATCGTGTTGGCCGAAAGTCCATACTCTAGCTTGTATTGTTCACGGTGAGATTGCTCGTTCCATCGTGAAGGAGTTATCACATTTAATGCTGCAGAAGCCTCATTAATGGCTGATGTGTGGTGCAATAACTCTATAGGATATTTGTCTACTTACGTGGCTGGTTCCCTTCTTGACAAGTGTTTAGATGTCATTGGTTCCAGGTGCAACGTTGGGTTCTCAATGGTGTTGGGCTTTGGTGTTTAAACCATGAATTGGGCTCTAAGTGGTGGGCCAAAAGTTTCTGTGGGCCCATCAATGTCATAAACTTTTTAATTAATTAATTAACGTATATTTGATTTTATTGTTGAACCAAATAAAATAAAATAAATTAAATATATATTTAGCTTTGGTTGTGAATCTTTAAAAAAAGAAAAAGAAAAAAAAAATGGTCAAGTTGGGTTGGGAAAAATCCAAACCCATTAGGAGATAGGGAGGGTAGTACTTATGGGGAATGAGAAAAAATAATTATAGGAGACTGGAGATGAAGAATTAATATCCACCTCATTAACTCTCATTGCCATCTTTAATTTGATGTACCCTATCTATACCCATACTTTACATTTTTTTAGCTTTTAGCATATCAGTGTACCAGTATCAAACTCGTATCATGTATTACATGGGTTTTCAATAAGGAAAAAGTAGTGAAATATTCCTTTCTAATTTTGTATAGTAGGAAAGGACTAAAATATTTTTTTTTATTACCTAAGATCCCTCAATGAAATTTATTTGTGATCATACTAGAGAAATTTCCAAATTTCTCTATAAAATCAAAAAAAAATTCTCTATAAAAGTTAAAATTTCTCTGTATTAAGATTGAAATTTCTTTAAGTTGGATTGAAATTTTTTTGAATCGAATTTTTTATGAAAATATTAAAAGACTTTAACTATTATAAAAATAGGGCCTGGCTTTGGTCCAGTCCACCATCGGACTGGGCCGTGCTGTTGGGTCCGTGGAGGCTTACCACGGGTCCCATTTTGTAAATCTGAATCGTTTAAAGTGTAGAACTCGTCAAGTACTATACGGCTGTGAAAAATCACATTAATCGGATATCAATAGTTATGTGATTAAATCAATTTTGTATAAAAAAAGAGAACAATAAACAAATTAACAGTTGACAAAAATTGATCTGATGAGATAACTATCGATATTTGATTGTTTAAAAATATATAATTCTCAATGATCTCTATATATTGACCGATTTAGATTATCAAAACGGATCCGTAATATGCTGTTCGGCACCGTCCAGTACGTTCTTGAACCGTAGGCAGGCTCCTCCCAAAAAAAAAACAAAAAACTTTAGTAGTAGTTTATTTTTTCCAGATAAGATAATAATCAAGCAACCGCTGCAAACATCTCCGGCGGTCCGTTTCAAAGTCTCTAGTTACCTTCATCGCATCGATTCGTCTGACCTAAATAAATCCAACTATCCAAAACCCTAATTCGACCAATGTCGACGTCTGGGCAGCCTCAATTCCGATACACCCAGACGCCATCGAAGGTCCTCCACCTTCGCAATCTTCCATGGGAGTGTATCGAAGAAGAGCTTATCGAGCTCTGCAAACCCTTCGGCAAGATCGTCAACACCAAGTGCAATGTTGGCGCCAATCGCAATCAGGCCTTTGTTGAATTCGTCAGTATTTCCCCTTTCTTTGATTTCAATTTGCTGAATTAGGGTTTTTGTATTATCCTTCATTTTTTGCGTTTCGATCTGAATTGATATTAGATTTGGTCTTGGGTTGCGTTTGGTATTATCGTTCATTCATTCATTCTATGAGTTTCTTGTTATTCCTAGTAATTCGTTTGGTGAATGCTCTTATATGTATGCAACTATGGTTATAGATATGTTGAGCTACAAGTCTTAGCTTAAGATCATTTTGAGTTATCATTATCAATTACAATTGGGGAAAAAAAATTATTGTGTTTTTAAGCAGTGGGTGGGCGTAGAATGGATAGAATATTCATGGGATATGACACATTTTAATGATATTTTAGTGGTGCATGCTCAAGTGTTGAGAATATTAAGGATATTTTCATATATAACTCGGACGATCTCCTATTGTATTTCATCAAGGTTTTGATTTGCTTGTCCAAAACTTATCATGAACACGTTAGTTCTGTTGGTTGAGCCATTGTATTGGTCTCGGTAATGCTTGTGGTCATGGTGTTATTTTGTTGAAGTTGTGGACTTTTCTTTTTGCTAGTGAACTCCTAAACTAACCCCGTGTTCATGCTTTAGCACCCAATTTACCAAGTTCAAAGATTTCGGTTTATTTTTAGACACTTACGCTGTGTCTGGTTCAAGAATTTGGTGAGGGATTTGGAAAGGGAAAGGGAAGAAAAGATAGTTGAAATGTGAATGAAATATATTCACACACCTTTCACATACTTTTTCCAAACCCCTACCCAAATTCATGAAGCAAACACAGCATTAAAGACATTATTTGTAATGCAAATGCTACTTGTATTGGTTTCTAAATCAATGTCTACCCGTTGGAAATTATCACAAAAGGAGAAAGAAAAGGACAGTAGAAAATATTTTCTATCATTTGACCTCTAAATTACACTCACGGTTAGGACCACAATCGAAATTGAGAGAGATTTAATAAAAACACATATAATAAGCATAGTTGTCAAATCGGGATTCGTATCGTGAATCGAAATGGCCTTGTACCAAATCGCGAATCGAATCGAATCGAATCGTGAATCATAAAGATTTAGTCACTTTTTCTAAATTACTTAAAAATATATATCTATACATTTAGATGTTAAATATATCTTATGAATATAAAATATTTAGACATAAATGAATGAAAATGTTATTTTGAATAATAATCAGGTAGTTTAATAGGTAAGAAGTTAACAAAGGTTCCTATGTAAGATCACCATATTACATTTTTCCTTTTTAAGATATTTCTTATCGACCATTCTTAATAAAGATGTAATATCACCATCTTGCCTTTTTTCTTTTTTAGATATTTCTTATCAGCCATTCTTAATAAAGATAATAACCAAATAGACAAATTATCAATTTCCAAAGTAACAATAATTAACAAAAATGTTGATATTTGGACAATAAGAATATATATTTTTCTAAGTAACAGTGAGCAAATAATAAGAAGGAATTATTTAGAATCTTTTATTTTAAAGCCTAAAACATTTTAAAAAGTATAACTAACCTCACACATGTAATATTCAATTTAATAAAATAGTAATAGATAATTTATAGTGTAACTTTAATCTTAAACATCTTTATAACATAAATTATGATTTTTTAAAAGAAAAAAAATGAGAAGAAAGGTTAAAAATACGTTGGGTCTGATTGAATCTGATTGGATCCTATTGAAAACTCATGATCGTTAAAATAACAATAAATCATGTATATATGTTGGTTATTTTGGTATTAAACACTATTAAAAGTTGTATTATGCCATTTTCACTAAAAAGATGGAGAAAAAAAGAGTCGAAAATATGTCGGACACAATAATTTCAAAAGTTGCATGAATCGCAAAAAGTGAATCGAATTGTGAATCGATTGTGAATCGTGCGATTCACTAGAGATTCACTTCCAAAATAGATTCACCAATAGATTCGTATCGATTTTGCAAAAATTGCGAATCGAATCGTGAATTGTAAGATTCTGATAACAGAGATAATAAGTATGTTGGTAATGCGGTTAAATTAGCTCTTAAGAAGGTTTGTACAACTAAATGTGCAGTGTGGCCCTTCTATGAAAAGATGCAAAATTGAAGTTATCAAACTTTTCAAGTGGAACACCATATTTTGCTAATTTGATATTTGAAAGAATAACTATGGCTTATAAATAAAGTTTTATAGTTTTGAGTGAGCTATAGGTGAAAGTTGAGGTCTAGAAGTGTTGTAAGGTAGCTTTCAAATTCAAGTGTTGAAATTGGTGTGCGGCTGGGTCTAATCTAATGGCCAATTCGGGGACATAATAGTTCATAACGGCTGATAGAACTTGATTTTTGGATCTAACAAGGGGCCCTGTTTAGGGCAGCTTGTTTGATCTGTATTAGAGTGTTTGGTGCAACTTTAACTTATTGTCTTATGGGACAGAAATAGCTTTAAATAAGTTGAAAGAAGATAATTATATGGAAGCTAAGGGAGGGGTGTTTTTAGTTTTCGTTTCTGATTATCAACTTTTAGCTTGAGAAAAGTTGCACCAAACTGGCCCAGTCTCAATATCGAAACTCAGACATAACATTGTGTAATGACATTACATTATGATTAACGGATTACATTATGAGAATGGCTTTTTGATGATCTTCTTTTTCTCTAATTTCCATAACATTTGTGGGGACAATTATCATAGTGTGGTATTTTATATTTTTCTAAAAAATTGTTGATGCCATGCTTAAATAAGTTGTAATGTCAATCTAACTCGGTTGCACTGTTCATTGATCACTTTCACACTGTCTTCTTCTTCGTTTGTTTTGTTTTGTTTTTTGGTTCATTTCCAATACAATTGTGATTGAAATCAGTTGAATCACAGATGATGATGGTTCTTATTTAGATCCTTTGTTGGAGACACTGTGGAATATATTATCATGTGCGTCATACTCCTTTCTAAGATCTATCTTCATGCTTTCATATACAGGTGTCATTCTGCACTTATCTGATGTGTTGATATTTTCTCCTCCAATTGTATTGATAGTAAGATGCTTTTTTGATGGTGATCCATTTTGTTTTTCCTACCCTTCTCTTTTTAGTGGCATGCTTAAATCTTATTGAAACTTACCTCAGGTGTTCTCAGCTTTTGGCTTTGTCCACAAGATTGCAACTTTTGAGAAGGCTGCAGGTTTTCAGGTGTGATGTCGAAAATCGCCTTCTTCTTCTTCTTCTCTCTCTCTCTCTCTCTCTTGTTTTTCTTGTATTTTTTTGGTATCTGCATTGGTCTTTCTGTACTTTTGTAAATTTGCCACCTACCTTTGCATGTTCGAAGACATTGATCCAATTCAGTGATGCTGAGACTGCAGCTGCAGCAAGAGATGCATTGGATGGAAGAAGCATACCCAGGTATGCTATCTTTTATTCGTATCCATCTTAATTGCTTTCCCCGCTTTTTTACGATATTGCTAAGTTTAGAACTGTGGAAGTTCTCACTATGGTGGATTTCATATTTGGTATGTAACAAATTTCAGGTACTTGCTTCCAGACCATGTTGGTTCATGCCACTTGCTCATCTCATATTCAGCGCACACAGACTTGAATAGTAAGTTCCAATCTCATTGAAGCAGGTAATAATGAATCCAGCTGGCCAGTAATTTGATGTTTTTTTATTCTGTATTTGGCTATAATCAACGCTTGCTCTTTCATCATTATGCTTCTATGATTATGATTTTTGGTGATTGAGGTCTTGCTAATTGATGCATGTGGTTTTTGTTAACTAGGGGTTAGTCAAGCTCGGCAGCTAGAACACAGATGTGTTTTTCATGGCCTCTTAGTAATTTTCTTAATCTTATTGTAGTTGTTTAATATGTTCCTGTAATTTCACTGTAGTTGAAATTTTTTGGATCTCATTAGTTTATATCTAGTAAATGCATTGAACGAACACATCTCACCTTTTGTCTTATTTATTCAGTTATTCGTAAATGGCAAATACCCTCGTCATATATTACGACAGATGCTTTACAATCATGTTGAACCTCCACTGTCAATGACATGAAGTTTCAGTTGCACTTTTTGTCTTTTGTTCTTGTTTTTTAGTTTGTGTTGTTCATGTGTCTTTTTAAACATACATCTTATCTGCAGCCTGTATTCAGGGATGGCAACAGGTTGGGTATGAGTCAGGGGGGTATACCCTTCCCCGCCTCATATAAAAAAAAAAAAATTGCAAATAAAAAAATTATGTAGTGACCTTCTTGAAGACAAACATGCTTTCACAAAGTAAAATTTCCTCTTCAAGCAACCTAAAACAATAAAATTGCAAATGTAGAACACTTTATTTGTATTTTTTTTTCTTTTTCTTTTATTTTTTTCTATTTCCTCTGTTTTTTTAGTAACCAAAAAAATTCTAAAAATATTGAAATTCAAGAGTCTCTAACAATCAAGAAAATCATTGATGCATTAGTGGAAAAAATACAAGACAAATGAAGTTGGAAATCAACATTGCCACCACCTCTGTTGACTTGTTCCACCATTGTTCTCTTTGGGGACCCATTCGTTGCCCACCTACTGTGTGGTTCAAGCAGTCCTCCTCCAACCCAACTTTGACTCGGAGATATAAATCACCAATCTCTAAACCAATTGAGCTTCTTTTTTAAAACAAGTGGTGTAATGTCTCCCATCCTGAATTGAAACGATAATGTTTGATTTGGGCTACCCTTGTGACTTTAAAACACGCTGTTATTAGGAAGAGATGTGAACTCGTTTATATATCCCAAGAAGTTTTCAGAAGTCAGAACCACACGTCCTTGTGTGGTGTGTGATGATGCATTTAACTTTGCACAAAAAATGGAACAAAAAATATGTCGAAAGGTGGGGACAAGAAAGCAAAGACTTCTGAAGTAGCAAGGGAAGCTTCTCTGGATCCTCTGGCACAGAAGCTCTAACAACAAAGGTGATGGTTTGTTTCCTGCTTGGCTTAAGAAAAAGAAGTTGCAATACATCACATTCATATGACATAGTTTAACAATATTAATTACAATATGCTGCATTCTTTCCTTAAGTAGTAAAAACAATGCTTAAAAAATTCATTTATATAGTTATGTCAACTATTAGGAACAGCAGTTTGATTTGTTGACCCTTGCCCTCCTTCCATAAAATCACTTGCATTTATAGCTGAGGTGAAACTAATTTCAAGAAAGTATTCTGTTTGAGGATACATCATAAACATATTGTTACTAAATGGTACACATTTGCAGAAGGCTTTGTTCTATTATTAACTTTAATGCTTTACTTGTGTAATGTGACACCTAGTGTGTTGTACAGATTGGAAGAATTTGATTAGTGACAAGTGTGCAGCAACTGTTATACTACTCAATTTGGAGTAGTTCTGGCTTATAAACAAAAAATATGGTTTGACTGGCATTCTAGTAACTGAGATCTCCTACTTGTTTCCTGTTCGACTTGTGCCAAATATGAAGCAATCTCAATATTGTTCATAGTGATGATATCCTTGAAGTAGTTGATTTGCAAGTTTAAAAAATCTAATAGTTCTTGTTTAATGGGCAATCCTCTAACTTCAAAACTAATTCAAATTATTATTTTTATCCTCTTCTGATGAAACCTTGTTACTGATGAAGTAGATAATACAAAACACTACGTAGTTTTATTTGAGATAGTTTTAAGATATGTTGTAATATGTCATGTATTGATCACTAGTTTTTCCATTTGAAGACAGGCTTTGATCCTTGCTCGACTTCTTGGTCAGCGGATTGACTTGGACATCATAAAGGTTTGGACATTGAGATGATATACTTGTATATCTCCACTTTCAAATCAAGTATGACCAGATTTATATGTAGTTTCTACTTTAATCTTGTAGGTTGAAAGCTTGTATCTTGAAGAAATGGGACCAAATATAATGCATGTTGAAGATTTTTTGGTGATTGGCCTTCCACTGCTTGATAAAGGCATCCAAGAGAGGGTTGAAAATTGATGAGCAGAGCAGCAGTCATGTGGGTAGATGAGCAAGATGGGGAAGCAATTGAGCTTGCCTTTAGTAAGAAGAAAATTGAAGCAAGGAAGAATGGCCCAGCAAATTGACAGCAGAACATAACAAAACAAAGCAAATCTGTGGGCAGAACATAACAGAAATGTGATATAAGGCCAGAATCAAGGCCAGAATCAATCATGTCTGTTCAAGGCCAGAATCAATCAAATCTGTGGGTTCAAGGCCAGAATCAATCATGTCTGTTCACGAACCAGACGAGCACCCTCCCCAACATATTTCTTAACAAGTTCATGAAGCTAAATTGTACAAGACTACTTGGCAGTATAAGCATTTTTGGGAGGATTAAATATTTTTGGATGGATGTGTATGGATAACAAATATTATTAGTTTTATTTGTTGATAGCTGCTGCGCATGGATAACAAATAGTTATGTTTCAAATTGTTATGCTAGATGGATGTGACTTGTGAATGAAAACTTAGAATAGTTGTATTGTGTCGAATGTTAATGAATTATGTATTGTGTCGAATGTTAATGATTTAGTTAATTTGAATGATGCTTTAAAATTATAGGTTTATTATGGATTGAATGAATTATTAGGAATTACAAGTGTATTGTTTTATTGCTTTGGCGACCAATTTATTAGTTGCGACATCCAAAATAATTTTTTTTTGCAAAAAATGACAATTGCCGACCAAGAGTTTTGGTCGCAAAAAAATATATGTATTGCCGACCAAATAGCTCTTGGTCATGGAATCTCACTTTTGTCGACCAAAAGTTTTGGTCGCGAAAAGACACAAATGGCGACCAATTTTTTTGGTCACGGAATGTGATAATTGGCGACCAAAAAATTTGGTCGCGAAATGTAATAATTGGCGACTAAACATTTTGGTCGCGAAATGTGACAATTGGCGACTAAGAAATTTGGTCGGGAAAATATCACTTTTCGCGACCAAAGTGTTTTGGCGACAAAATAAATTAGTCGCAGTAATTAAATATTTAGCGACCAAAAATTTAGTCGGTAAATCCAACTTTTGCCGATCAACCACAATTTTGGTCGCGAATTACTTTTGCCGACCCTCAATTGGCGACCAAAGTAGCGACTAAAAAAATTGGTCGCGGATAACTTTTGCCGACCAAAAATTGACTTTTAGCGACCAATTTTTTTGTTGCCAAAAGTGTTAATTCTTGTAGTGTTATGTGTATATTTAATATTATGTCTTTCACAATACAATGAAAAGGTCTATATATAGACAAGGTAAGATTTGAAAACAAAAAAGCTACAAAACATCCTAATATGGCAAAACCTAATTAAGCATCTAATATATATATATATATATAGCTACCATATTTACTTACCAATAGATGTAAGGTTGTAAAACAAACAACCAAATATTTTATTTTAAAAAAATCATAATCTACGCAATTTTACAACCCCAATAATGTCATATTTCTATATTTTCTCTCATCGGCAATTACCTAAAGAAACACTCGTGAGAAGCTTCTATACTCATTTTTTTTTTCCCAAAAGAAACACTTACTAGAAGCTTCTATACTCAATTTTTATATTTAATCTCATTTTGTATTTTGGTCTTTTAATTGTTTCAGTCAATCTCTAGATTTCGAGTCAAGTAGAAATTTGGTCCATTTGAATAATGTCGTTTCGAAAACCAACGAAAAATAGTTACATGATAGCATTAATAAACCTTAACATTGTATTTTTATCAAAATTTCACTTTAGTCATTAACATTTCTGTAAATTTGACAAAATTTCACTTTAATTTCTTCTTCAATTTTTAAAACAGCATTATTCAACTGACATACATTTAAAATGAATTTGAGCCACATGTTGATTTGTTTTAGATAAAATGTGAGTATATAACATTGTTAATTACAAAATGTGGATAGTAGAATACACATTTTAGCACACTTTAAAATGACTAATAGCGTTGGAGATACTAAGAGTTAGTGACAACAATACATAATATTTTCTCTAGTACTTATTTTCTCTATGAAAATTTGGCTACTTTGCAACTGAATATATATATATATATATAACAAAATAAAATAAAAACATTTGGGGACTCACTTGACTAATTGTGACTCCTCCAACCATTTATCTGCTTATTTATATGACAAAGTGCAAGTTTGCTACCTAAAACCTTCATACCAAACCTAATTATCTAATAAACTGCACAGGAGATGCCTACATCTCCAAAGAGGGCATCCAAGTCACCCAAGACCCTGTCATGTACAATGTGTTATTGTTGCAGTGGTTGCGCCATGTGTACCCAACCGATGCATCTTTGGGACAATTCCTCAGGGATCCTCACCGATTTCAGTACCAATTTCTCATTTGTCACATAGGGGGAAATGATTATGGTGAGAGGCTTGCGTTCTTTCTCGCTCCCAATGGTTCCAATATCCCTCTAGACTCAATAGGAGGTGGCCTAGGCCTCGTAAATGAAAAAGAGATGGCAACTTCAACCAGTGCAAATCGATTTGTCACTGTGGAGTTTGACACTTATCGAAATAATCCTTGGGAAGCAAGCTTGCCAATCAATCATGTCGGTGTTTGTATCAATTCTAGGAATTCCATTGAACTTATATATTGGCCGAGTGGTATTTTATATGGTATACCAAATGAGGCTTGGATTATTTATAATTCAAGCACCCAAAACCTTAGTGTCATCTTCTTTGGTTTTGAAAATAGTTCTACAATTCGGAAAACTATTTTCAAATTGTTGATCTGAGAAATCACTTGCCAGAATGGGTGACCTTTGGCTTCTTAACTTCAACAAGAGATTCATATGAAAAAAATACTATCAAGTCATGGGAGTTCATTGCAAGTTTTCAAAATGATGAGCACATAAAAGAGGCGGCAGCAGTGAAAGGAAGTGTAAGATAGAGTTAGTGGTGGGACTTAGTGTTGGTTAACCATAGGGTGGTTAGCCTAATGGGTGACGACTAGGGTCTGGAGGTTTGCTTCCTCCCAAGTCTCAAGTTCGAATCCCCTAACTAGCAAGCGCATACCTTGGGGCTATAGACCGTAGGGCGTAAGCCCTGTTTCAAAAGGTTTGTTCGGGCTATAAGGACTTAGTTTGATGTGCATAAGCTAGCCCACGATACCCTATATAACAACAAAATCAAAATCAAAATCAAAATCAAAAGGGACTCAGTGTTGGTTTGGGTATTTTATTGGTTAGTGGGATTGCTTTGGTTTGGTATGTAAAGGTCGAGGGAAAAACAAAAAAGACAAGTTAGTGCACAATCAATTCAAATAGGGCACTGGGCCAAAATGAAATGGCTCTTGCAACAAACAAGAGTTTAATTTGAGCAAGTACTATTTTTCTTAATAAATTTGTAAAGACAATTTCTAAATATTTTATGCTTCCAAGTATTTACACGTACTATCAACTCATATTTATGAAGAATAAAAAGGAGAAGTAGTTAAATGTACGCATATTCAAAGTATATTATGTCCATTAATATTCTATGATATCAATACTATAAAGAAATTAACATATAGAGAAATTAACTGAAAACATGTGTACAAAATTAATTTTTTTTAATTATTATGTGATTCGGATTTAACTCATGTATTATGAAACTCATATAAAATGAATTTGAACCATATAAAAAATTGAAGTATTTATGTGGATGAATTATGTATATATACAAAACAAAATAAGGAGGATTACATATCAGTGAGGTGCAGAAAAAATAATTTCAAAAAGGTTAAAAAGTTTATAATTTTAATTATCAATGTTTGTCTTTAAAAGATCTATTTCAAATATATATTTGTTGTCCATTTTTTTGGAGACATGCGATAAAATGAAAAAATTATGATAATTGAATCAAACTAATTTTTTTCCATAGATAATATACATTGTGGGCCTTACAAAATGAATTGTTCAGATAATTAAAAGGAGACTAATGTTGGGTCCTACAGACCCCTCAAATTCTATCATGTTGAGATCTCAAAACATGAGAGAAACCCAACCTAAAAAAATATATTTTGTTCCATAAATTATCACTAAAAAATTAATTCAACTCTAATTCTTTTAATAATATCAACCTTACATCTAAATTATTTGATTTTTATTTTATCGTCAATTACCATATGCAATGTAGAGAAAGTTACAAAAGTGCATCATCACTTAACTACTATTTTTGCCATAAATAAAGTCAAGTTGCCTCTACTTGTAATCTATTCAATATGCGGAGAACTGTGGTTTCATTTACAAGTAATTAAAAAAAAAAAAAAAATGGGCACTGACCTACCAGATAAAAGTCACTCCGTTGTGTTAAATCCCAATTCGAAAAATTCAAAATGTTACAATTACTACAAGTTTTAGTGAACCATGATAGTTTATATGACTTCAGGCA